AGCGCAAATAGATTGTACAAATAGGTGAGAATTATCAAAGAGAGCAAATAACTCTGTCTAATGTTTAACAGACTCTCCCTGTTTGTCTGTCTAGAACCAAGGAGGCTGTGGGGAGCTGTGGGGAGGCCCTTGTGCACCCAGGTTTCCGGGTCTAGGAGGAGCCAGAACACTACACCAGGAGACGGGCCTCTGTTCCAGGATTTTCTGCCCCTGAGTGACTGGGTGCTGGGAACCTGTTTTCTCTTTTGTGAAACAGCACTTCTAGGACACACCTCCTGGGGCTGCAGGGACGCTTTGCATCTGATGGGAAATGGGGTGTTTTGGAATCCCTTCCCCAAACTCCAGCACATTCTTTTGATGACCCTCGGTGGTGGTAATACATCTTCACTTGAAGATGGTTTTGATTTTTGGAAGCAGCTGAGAGTTGTTGGCAGTGGAGCCTGGTGATTCACTAAGTTACAAGCGTTTGAGCCTTCAAAAGAACGGGCTGGCCCTGCCTGTGCCTTGGTCACCACAGAGGCCGTGGCCAGGGCCACATCAGCCACTGAGCAGGAGAATGGTCATTGGTGGGGTCGCTGGTAAGTGACACACCAGATTCTGAAGACTTTAAGAAGGTGAAATATATCATTAATCATTTTTTCATGTTCAGTATGCACTAAAAGGACAATATTTTTAATATGCTGGGTTTAAACCCCATATTATTAAAATTAATTTTACTTGTTTCCATTTCCTTTTTAAATGGTAGCTGCTAGAAAAATTTAAATTGTATACGTGGCTCTAATTGCATTTTTAACAGGGATGGCCCATCTCAGGAAAAAGGTTCTGTTCTCTTATGGCTCATTAACTGACCTTGTAATTCCTCAAGAGTTCTTGAATTCTGAAAATATTGTGGACAACAAAGTTAGAAAAAGGATGCGGCTTTTTCAGATAATTAATGGGAAACATAACGTTTTCCCCCGTGTAGGTTGCAGTGTGATTGTTTTTAACAAGGTTCACAACTTGTTTGTCATATGTCACAGTGTGTGATGAGGTGTTTAGACAACAGGGGCCATAGTGATTAATATAAAAAAAGACCACTCTTTCGACCAGGAGTGGATACAGGCTTCCCAGGGAGGCTGGCCAGGGTGTGACAATTACAGGAAATCCAAGCTCGGTGCCTATAAATTTCAGTGTCTCATAGTCACTCCCATTGGTCCCTTGTCTAGGATACTCAGTCCCAAGGGCGGCATGGTCACAAGAGCCGTCCAGCCTGGCCAGCTGAAAGTGTTTGCTGCTGGCCCTTTGCAGAGTAAGTCTGCCAACCCCTGGACCAAGGGGCAAAGTTGATTCTGCAGCCCACACTGGGGAGAGGCCCAAGGGAGGCTGCATTGTGGGGGGAAGTAGATGGGGGTCCTGGAGGCAAGGTCCAGAGCTGAGTAGTGGTGTCTTGGTTCACCAACATAGTTTGTTTCATGATTCTGGAAAAGATGGCTGGGGTCATGTTCGTCACCCAATGGAGAGTTCACAAAGAAAAATGAGAGTTTGCCATATGCTGCTTCTGTTCGTGAACCAAGGTACCATTGTATTTGTAAAGATGACATTGATGTCGGGGATCTTGGCGGTGGGGGAGACCAGAGCAGTGAATCTGTTGGTAGAAAGGTGCTAGGATGGGACAGGAAGCTCCTGGGCTGCCAGGAGGTTGCTGATGTACTATGTTTGCGGAGAATTGGTAGCCACAGAGGCAACTGGAAATACACAGAGGGGCTGAGGGAGTGAGGGTCAGAGGAGGGGCACCCAGAGAGGCAGGTGGGACTGAAGCAATGAGTCACCTGGTCCTGGGACAGTGGCTGTCCCCGCTGAGATCTTCTCCCTGCCTCCTGCAGGGTAGGAGCCAGTTCTGCTGAGCCAGCTGCCCGCCTCCCTCCACCCCAGAGCCTATCTAAGTGCTGGAAGTAAAAAGACCCGATCTAGGGAACACCTTTCATCAGCAGCGGGTTTTTGAAGAAGTGCTGAAAATGGAGACAGTTCAAAGTACAATGTAACATGCTGCCAGACACTTCCTACCCGTCAGTAACATCTCAACATCACTTTATTGTGGTAAAATACATGCGAAATGTGCCATTTTACCATCGTACCACCATCACTACCATCTCCGGGACCTTTCACCTTTCTCAAATCCAGACTCCATACCTATTAAACGTAAGCCCCTGTGCCTCCCAGCCCAGCCCCTGGCAACTACCTCTACACTCTCTGTCCAGCCGTGACTGTTCCAGGGGCTTCCTGTAAACGTAGTCATGCAATACTGTATTTGTCCATTGTGTCTGGCTTGTACTTCTGTGCTACATTTCCATCAGTGGTGGGTGCCGATCTGCTGGTGGTTCCACAAGAGTCTATTGCCTTGTGGTGTTGTAGCTGGCCTTGTTAGTGTCAGGACACTCTGGGGTTTGCACAATGATGGAATTGCCTAGTGACAATTTTCTCAGAATGGATTCCTACTGTTAGGCGACACATGACTGTATCACTTAGGCATCATCCTCAGGGTCCATTGACATTGTATCATGTATATCTTACTTTCTTGTTGCTGAGACAAAAACCTGACACCAGCAAGTTAAAAGAGGAGAGGTTCTTTTGGCTCACAGTTTGTGGAGGTTTCATTCTGTAGTTAGCCAGCTCTAAGGCAGGGCAGCATTTCAGAGGAGAAACAGTCCGTGGAAGGGCAGTGAGTTTCCTTCTTTCCCTTTTGATTCCATTCAGGATACAAGCATACTGGTTGATGCCACCTACACCCAGGTTGGGTCTTCCCTCTTCAATAAATCTATTATCTATACACAGAACTATGCTAAACCAGCCAGGATTAATCCAAGAACATATGCCCATAATCCAGTATCATACACCAGTGATCCAGTATCACATACCCATGATCCAGTCATTCTCAAAAGCCCCATTGATAAGTAGATGAAACTCTGGGGGTACATCTAAATGTTAGCCATGACAATGTGTCAGAATCTCCTTTTTTAAGGCTGAGTAATAATCCATATATCACATTTGGTTTCTTCACTCACAGTCCATAATGTGATTTTGGCTTTAAGATTTTTTCTTTCACAGAAATGAAGTGGAAGCCCCTTTGTGGGGTAGTCCTGCACTGGCCACTTCCCTGCATGCTCTTATGAAGCTGATCTTCACCTGCCCAGCATGCACCTGTCCCAATTCACAACCAAGATGCAGTATAGCTGCATACCTGTCTCTTCATGTGCACAGATGGCCTCATGCCTTGGGCATTCCATGGCTTGGTTTTGTGTGTTTGTAAGCACCATCCATGATTGGTTCTCAGAGCTGTTGCCCAGACCTATGCTGTTTCTGACTTCTGTAGGTGCAAACTGGCTGCTAAGCATCCTCATGGATGGCTCCTTATAGAGAGGGATAGGGTTTCTACTCAAGACTCTTCCAAATTACTTTATATGTACACTGTGGTACACATGCTCCAGAATTGATGATGGGGTCACATACTGATAAATCCTTTGTAAACTGAAAATAGAACAAGTTACCAGGCATGGTGGTGCACACCTATAATCCTAGCTCTAGGGAGGCTGAGGCAGGAGGATCATTGTGAGTTCATGGACAGCCTGAGCTACATCATGAGTTCAAGGTTAGCCCGAACTACATACTGAGATCCTGTCTCAAAAAAACAAGAACAGAAACAAAAAAAAAAAAAAACAAAGAAAAACATTTTATTAAAAAAGAAAGTATAGTAAATTAGGAATGCATTTAGTCTACCTTACCTACCCAACATCAGCTACCACTGCCCAGCATCTTGAGGGAGTGTCCTGCCAAAGATTGCTAGATTGGGAAAAGACCTAAATCTCAAATCTGAACCCATACTGCTCTTATAGTTCTGTAAAGTCAACCACTGTAGGTCAGGTGTGTTTGTGTGTTTCCCGGGTTTTGGACAAAGCAGAAGCTTCCTGACCCAGCACATGGCCTTGGTGCATTTTCTCTCCTTTGTCTTCTTTCTCCTCATGTGCTGATCTCAAGCCACTGAATTGATTTTAACACCCACTATTGGGAGGACTGCAACCTGCACTTTGAAAACACATTCCAGGGCATTTTCTGAGAGTTTCAAGGGGACCAGATCTATGAGATTCAATCGTTACCCACCACCACCACCACCCTGGAGCACAGCAAAATTTGTGCAAGCACCTTTTCCCCTGCACTCTCTTGAACCATCAGATCTTCAGATTTAACATAGCCTTGTGCCAGGCTGTGGGTGTTGTGTTTTTGTTTGAAAGTGAGACTCTTTCCATGTTTATTAGTTCCTTGGTTTTCTTTATATGTGGCTTGCCCATTTTCTCTATTAAGATTTTGGCTCTTTTTTACAATGACTTTATAGGAGTTCTTTATATAGTCTCCATATTGATCCTCTTTCTTATATAATGTATTTTGGATACTGATCCTCTTGTTTCTATTTTTTTTTTTTAAGGAATTGTATGGTCCTTCAGTTATTCATGGCACCATAGGCATCAGGGTGCCAGGGAAGACTTGGGATGGGGAGGTGGAGGCTGGGAAGGGCAAGGAAGAGGAGTCTGGGAAGGAAGGGCTTGTTGCTGCTGACCCCAGTGAGAACCAGGAAGAGGAATCTTGGAGGGCATATGAGACTGCTACTTGGGAACAGGGTCCCTCTGGCCTGCTGGTTCTCAGAGGAGGCACCTTTGTTCCCAGAAGACATTTGGTAATGTCTGGAGACATTTTCGGTTATCATAGTGGGAGAGAGTTGCCAGTGCCATATGGTGTACCAAGCCCAGGGATGCCTCTCTGCATCCTGCAGCACACAGGACAGCCTGGAAAGAAAAGCAGCCAGCTGGGGTAGAGCCGCCCGCCCCACTCACAGCGCTGCGCTGGTAGGGCCATGGTTAACCAGCACCCCGGGGTGTCTGCTGGTATGAGGAAGGGCACAGTCCTGGGGACACTTGGTGCATGTCCACAACCTTGTCCACCAATACATCTCCTCTCTCTTCCTCCGCTAGGCAGGTCGTGACGAGCCCTGCCTGGGCTGAAGATTGCGGAGGATGGAAACACGCACCCAGCAATGTCTCTGGGCCGCCTCCTTCGCCGAGCCTCCTCCAAAGCCTCAGATCTCCTGACCCTCACCCCCGGTGGCAGTGGTGCGTCCCCCTGTGTCCTGGATGGAGAGATCATCTATTCCAAGAACAATGTCTGTGTGCACCCACCCGAGGGGCTGCAGGGCCTGGGGGAGCATCACCCAGGTGAGCCAAGGCAGAGAGATTTGAGTACAGGCCTGGGGAAGGTTGACCCTGAGCTAGTGGGCTGAGGAGGGGCACCCCTGAGGGTATTGCACAAGGGGGAGGACACCCCAAGATCGAAGGCCCAGGAACAGGAGGCTGGTGGGCAGGAATTCTCTGGAAACCACAGGTCCTGCTCTTCCTCCACCTACATGTGGGAATCAGGGACCTGAGGGCGTCATTCTGGGCATAAAAAAAAGAGTAGCAGTGCCCAGGGAGTTCCATGGGGCAGTCATGCTGCGACTCGATGAACAGCCAGAGACAGCATGGGCGGAGGTCTCAGGCTCTGGCTCCCTCCCAGAAGCCATGTGCGGAATACCGGCCTCAGCTCTGGGACTCTTCTGTGCACTGACTGACATCTGCGTGTCCTGTCTTCTCTGGGGAGCCAGAGTGGTGTCAAGGAGATGCTGGCTGGAGCTGGAGTCCCAAGAGGTGTGGTCAAGGGTGCAGGCTCCTGCCGATGGGGCTCAGCATGGGGGTGAGGAGGCCTGGGACCGAGTGCCATAGCCCAGGGATTGAGATACCTCAAAGCATGTGGGGGTGCATCAGGAGATGCCAAAACCAAGCGCTTTCCCCCTAAAACCAAGCGCTCAGCCCCTCACTGCTGGTGTTGGAGAACTTGTTCCTCTCCATCCCAGTCAGCCGTGGGCGTGTGCCGGCGCTCACAGCTGCCTCTGAAATTGGCCCCTTCATCTAAAACATTGCACTATGAAAGGAAAGACCAGGGTGCAGGGGCTGCCTGGAAAGGCCTGTGCACCACCCTTCTTGGATCCGTTCTTGTAAAATCAAGTCTCCAGCCTGGTGCATCCCTCCTTGGAGGATGCTGGTTTCCGGAGGTTTCTGGGCTTCCCTACTGGCCTGGGCTCTCACAGGCATGAAGGCCATGTGCCAGGCAGGCCAGGGCAGCAAGCAGGTGAGGGTAGACGGCATGGGGCCCTGACCTGGGAGTGCTTCTTTGGGGAGAAGCACAGGGAGGTGCTGCTCAGGCTGCTGCCCCCAGAGCGGTACTTGGAAAATGCCCGTGGTGAGGGTCGGTACCACACTCCGCCCGGGCCTGTTTAGCTCAAGGCCACTCTGCGTCTGGAGCCTGCTCGGTGTGAACTGTGCTAAAGGAGGCCTCTATGGGAACAGAGCCTCGGGCAGCCCCACCTTCTCTCTCACCCTGTCCTGCCGCTCCCTGCAGGGTACCTGTGCTTGTACATGGAGAAGGACGAAATGCTGGGCACCACCCTCATCCTGGCCTGGGTCCCCAACACCCGCATCCAGAGGCAGGACGAGGAGGCCCTGCGCTACATCACCCCTGAGAGCTCCCCCGTGCGCAAGGCCCCGCGCCCTGGGCGCCGCCGCACCCTGAGCACCGGTGTCGCTCACCAGGCCTCCCCTGTGGAGCCGAGGCCCACCCTGATCCCCAGAGATGAAGACATCCTGGTGGTGGCCCAGAACATCCAGGATGCCGTCCATATCAGCCCTTCACCTGAGGAAGGGGAGAAGCTGGCCCAGGGCCCCGGCGGGGACAGTCTCCTCCCTGCCTCGCAGGCTGTCCACAGCGACTCTGGGATCTTGTCTACAGTCAGTTCGCAGGATGGGACGGAGGAGGGCCGGGAGGCTCGGCCTGAGGCTGGGGAGGAGGAAGGCTCCCTGGAGCTGTCTGCCGATGGTGTAAGCAGGGACAGCTCCTTCGACTCTGACTCAGATGCCTTCTCCTCGCCCTTCTGCCTGTCACCCGTCAGCGCGGCCCTGGCGGAGGGCAGCAGCTCGGCGTTCCTGGAGAGCGAGGGCAGGTGAGTTCCCAGGTGGGGGCCCCACACCCGTCTGGGCCGTGGGAAGCAGCTGCACATGTGCCCACAGTGCTGACCAGCACGGCAGCTGCTCACTGCCCTCCTGGGCCTGCTGTTCCTGTGGGTGCTCCGAGCCCATGGTGTGGGCCAGGAGTTGGGGTGCCATCACTTGCTGCCGGGCTGATGGTGCAGGAGGCACATCCGGCTCCGCATCTGTCTCTCTTCTTCGGCAGCCGCACCCAGACTGAACCACCCCGGCCTAGTCTGCCCGGCTCCTGGGTCTGACTGTCCTGGGGAAGGCTGGAATGGCGGTTCTCCCTTTGGCAAGTGCCTGAGAGGCCTGGTGGCTCTGTGAGGCCTACGGCACTGGCTTGAAGTCAGTTTTGCTGCGAGGCTTGGTCCCCAGCCAGGCCCCATGGGGACTCCTGGCATCTGCCCCTGGAGAGGTGGGAAGTTGGCGGCATTCACTCCGTGTGGCCGCCGTCGTGCACCATGGGCGCTGTGGTGCTTCGGCTCGCTGACAGTGGACTTCACAGTACGGGCTGTGCTTTGGGGGCAGGAGTCCCCCGCACCTTGCAGTGGCTCTCCTGGGCCTTGGAGTCCAAGGAGACCACTGAGTGGGGAGTGTGGTCACTACATCCACCGCCCAATGTCTTTGGGGTCTCACAGAAGGTGGCATGCACCAGGCTCCGGCATGGGTGGGTGTGCTGACCCAGGGCATCTGGAGAGCCCAGCGTGGCATGGCTGTTCCCACCCTTCCTGGGCTCCATGTGGTTCTGTACTCATTCACTGTAGCAAAATTGGTGGTACTGGCAGACATTGATTAATCATGTGTGCTCACAGGTCAGCCAGGTATGTGCAGGATACCCACTGGGGCACTGGGCATCTCTGGTATGGCTTTGTGCGGAGGGAAAAGGGAGCCGTGGAGGTCACCAGCCAAGGTGCAAGCCAAGCCCAGAGTTGGACCCCGCTGGGTGTCCTCCAGCCTGGGCTTGAGCACACGTGTCCGCTCTGGGCTGATAGAAGCCAGGCAGTAAAGGGCAGGGCTGAGGGACTCACATGCTTTCCTGGCTCCAGCAGGAAGGAGTTTGAGGTGGATTTTTTCCTGATTTTATCCTCTCAGTAAGATGTGGTCCATTTAAGCCCAGGGTGAACCAATAACGCTTGTCTCCAGTATTTGAGAGCACAGGTAAAGGAAGCAGTCAGCCATGGTGAGCAGTCAGGCCCCCATGGAGGTTTGCAAAGGCCTGCAGGTTGTTCAGCCCTGCCATGTTCCTGCCAAGAGACCAGACTAGGGCCAATCTTGAGGCTCCCTCCTCCAAAGGGGCTCCACTAGAGCTCCTCCTGGTGGTGCCACGCTGGTAGTGCAGCGGTCCCTGCAGAGTCCAGACTCCCAGGGCCCAGGCTGAGCTGCAGGTGCTTATCCTTATCCCTACTTATTTTCCTCTTCCCAGAGAGGTGGTAGGTGAGTCTGCTCTGGTCTTGGGGTTGAGGATGGGGTGGCAGAACTGGAGCAGAGCCTGGCTTGCTTGGTTTTCCACCCAGCAGCCCTGTCCATCAGGGACTGGGATCTGGGTGTTCCGGAGCTGTGTGCTGATTAGGTCCTAGTACCCCTGGTTGGCGTGAACCTGGGAAACTTCCTTCTGTTCCTGGGGTTACTGTTTCCCTGCTGTAAGAGAGGGGTAGTGACATCCATTTTATGGGGTCATCATTGGAAGCAGAATCCTCCATGTTGGTCACCAACCTGGTTGTACCTGGGCTCACCTCATGGAGTGCTCATCCCTGCTGCCGAGCTGTCTCGGATGCTTCCAGAATAGCGACTCTTGCTCGAGGCTAACTCATCCCCCGGGGGAGATGGTTTATCCCAGCGCACGGGGCTGTTGTTGGCATCCTGGGTGGAGGCTGCGACTGCTGCCAGCAGCTCTGGTAGCTGCTGAACAGCCTCCTCCCCACTGCCCCAGGGCTCAGGTCTTGCTCTGGGCTCACCTAGGACCTGGTGCTCTCTCTGCCACAGGTCTTTGCATGGGTCCCCTTTGCCGGGGTTCACCCCGCCTCCTAACCAGCCAGCTAGAGTATGAGACTCAGCTGTGATGGAGCCCTTGTGTCTAGATTTTTGGGAGCCCCCTTTTTTTTTTCTTCTGGTACCAGGAATTGAACTCACGACCTTGCACTTGCCAGGCAGGCGCTGAGCCGCTGAGCTAAATCCCCAGCCCCCGGGAGCCTTTCCATCCCCCTAGACCAAGGAGGAAACGCTTTGCCTGCCCTGCACGGTTTTCCTGCTGGATCCTTGCTGTGATGCCAGGCTGCACACCTGGCTGCAGCTGTGGGTGAACTTCAGCACCTGGCAGATCTGCTGTAAACCCTGGCTTCACTCGCCTGGCCATATGACCTTGTGTGCCCAGCACTCAGGTATCTCCTGATGTGAAATGTGGCGCAGAATCCCTCGCAGACAGTGGGTGTAAGGGTTGCATGCCAGGCTGGGCCATGTGGTCTGCAGGCTGGCCCAGGAGCTGGGCAGTGGCCACGTCCTCCCATCCCTGCTCACACAGAGGCGTAGGAAACACTCAGCTTTGTGGCTTCTCCTTACACTTTGGCCTATCCACGTCAGGACCACAAATGAGTCCATAGCCACTGTCCCTCACACCCGTACCAGTGCAGTGCGGGTGCACTGGTCCATTTTCTGTTGCTCTAACACAATACCTGAGGCTGAGTACTTACAAAGGAAATAGGGGTTTTTTTTTTAGCTTACAATATTAAAAGCTATGAATCCAAGGTTGGATGGCCCCATAGATTTGGCCTCTGGCGAGAGCCCTGTCTCCCAAAGCAGAGGGCATCTTGGTAGGAGCTAGGCAGGAGGAAATGATCACACAGGGGCGGTGAGCTGGAATGCAGGAAGGGGCCGTGAGTTGGAGTGCAGGCAGGGGCCAGATGCGGTTTTTTGTTTTTTGGTTTTTTGCAGTTCTGTGGGTTAAATCTAGGGCCTTTGCCTCGGGCTGTATTCCCAGTCTGGGTTTTTTTTTTTTTTTTTTT